GTATACAAACATGATGTTGTGGGTCATTTTGACCCGGAGGCTTTCATGTGTATATATATTTGCACAGGTGCAAAACAAAAAAGTGTCTTTGATTTATTTTGTTTTGACTGGTCCTGGTTGCACTTTTAGAATTGTGTTTGGGTTAAAAAGGGCTTTCCCAAGCTTCTCCTCAGTGTGAGAGCAGCAGGTCCCTGACACAGACACTCAAAAATGAGCTCCAAAAGATTTTCAATCAATGAAGTCTTATCACAAATTCTGGACTGTGACAGTGAAAAAGAAGAAGAGGTTTCAGAGACAGAGGATATTTCAGAGATAGAGGACAATGCTGTTGATGATCCAGATTTTGTCTTCATTGAAGAGGATTCAGAGGAGGAGTCTGCCGTACCATCCCCTACATCAGATGAGAGACAGAGCATGCAACAAGCATCATCAAGAGAAGAGAAGACATGGAAGTCTAAAGATGGTCATATTGAATGGTCACCGTCACCACAACGAGGTCAAGGTAGACTCTCAGCTTCCAATGTAATAAAAATGGTTCCAGGACCTACACGATTTGCTGTCACTCGAGTCCATGACATACAATCAGCTTTTGAGCTCTTTTTACCCCAAGCAATAGAGAAGATTGTTCTGGACATGACCAACTTGGAGGGGAGCCGTGTGTTTCAAGAGAACTGGAAGCCACTGGATCGGATTGACTTGCATGCATACATTGGATTGCTCATATTAGCTGGAGTCTACCGGTCAAACGGAGAAGCAACGGCCAGCCTGTGGAATGAAGAGAATGGAAGGCCAATATTTCGGGCAACAATGTCTCTACAAGAATTCCACATAATTTCTCGGGTGATTCGCTTTGATAACCGTGATACCAGACCGGGTCGACGTGAAAGAGACAAACTAGCTGCAATCAGAGATGTATGGGATAAATGGGTGGAAATTCTACCGTTACTGTACAATCCCAGTCCTCATGTTACAGTTGATGAACGCCTTGTTCCATTCAGAGGACGTTGTCCCTTCAGACAGTATATGCCAAACAAGCCTGCAAAATGTGGCATCAAAATATGGGCAGCATGTGATGCCACATCAAGCTATGCATGGAATATGCAAGTTTACACTGGGAAGCCACCCGGCGGAGTGCCTGAGAAAAACCAGGGGATGCGGGTGGTGCTGGACATGAGTGAAGGGCTGCAAGGTCATAACATCACGTGTGACAACTTCTTCACATCCTACCGCCTTGGTGTTGAACTACAGAAGAGAAAGCTGACCATGGTTGGAACAATCAGAAAAAACAAACCTGAACTTCCCAGTGAGCTTCTGAAAATGCAGGGCAGAACTGTGCATTCCTCTAAATTTGCTTTCTCTGAAAATGCAACTGTTGTTTCATACTGCCCAAAGAAGAACAAGAATGTTCTTGTAATGAGCACAATGCACAAAGATGCATCGCTGAGTGCAAGAGAGGACATCAAGCCACAAATAATACTGGACTACAATTCCACCAAAGGAGGAGTTGACAATTTGGATAAAGTCACAGCAACATATAGTTGTCAGCGCATGACTGCCCGCTGGCCTTTGGTGATTTTCTACAACATTGTGGATGTGTCTGCTTACAATGCCTATGTCCTGTGGACTGAAATCAACCAGCAATGGAATGGTGGCAAATTGTACCGACGCCGGCTTTTCCTAGAGGAGCTCGGCAAAGCTCTCATCACTCCCAAGATCCAGAGGAGAGTCCGGCCTCCTCGGTCGACAGCAGCTGCATCTGCCGTCCAGAAAATTCAAGCTGGACCATCAACACATGCCTCCAATCAACCAGAAATGGATCCAGTGGATACAGGCAGTGGCAAGAAACGGAAAAGATGCCAGCTCTGCCCCCCTCGACAAGACAGTAAAACAAGCACCACTTGTGTAGAATGCAATAAATACATCTGCAGAAAGCACACACACACATTGTGTTCAACATGTAGAGAGAAAGACTGAAGGGATAATATGGATCAATAGGGGGGGAAAAAACCTACTTGGGGAAACTGAAAAATCTTGTTTGTGAGAAAGGAAATATGTTTAACAAATAGTTCTTAAATATTGTTTAAAAAAAATAAAAAGTATTGTATTTCTTCTTTCTGAAATGTCTGATAAGACAAAATAAAGTTGTTTCTGTTTTTACTTAATTCTTTGACTGTCTTGAGTGTGTTTAAACTGTGCGGGTCAATTTGACCCGTAACATAATGGATGTCATTTTTTTCCAGCAAAGCACAAGGGATATATATATAATAAGATAGTAGTGTTAGTAAAAGTCTTATTGAAAGTTATTAAAAACCTCCAATTAACCTATAATTTCCATTCTCAGAGCGTTAATAAAACCTCCCTGGGAAACTTTCAAGCAACCAGAGTAAAACATTCTCAGAACCTCCCTGCAACATAAAAATAAATGTTACAAGAACATGCAGCATTTTCACTTCCGTTCTCAGAACGATCAAAAAAACGTTTGGTTTTACCAGTCAGGAAACGTATGGCTTTATTCCCAGAATCAATGGGAAACCAAAAATGTATGTTACCACAACTTCCAAGGAACTAAATGTGCTAGCTGGGTACCTTCCAGTTGTCATCCCACCTCTTCTTCTTCTGTGGGGTTTATCGGCGGTTAGCATCCAACATTATAGTGCATTACCACCACCTACTGTACTGGAGTACCCGCGCCTCCTGCCTGTGTACCATTTACATTTACATTTTAGTCATTTAGCAGACGCTCTTATCCAGAGCGACTTACAGTTAGTGAATACATATATATATATATTTTTATACTGGCCCCCCGTGGGAATCGAACCCACAACCCTGGCGTTGCAAACACCATGCTCTATCAACTGAGCTACATCCCTGCCGGCCATTCCCTCCCCTACCCTGGACGACGCTGGGCCAATTGTGCGCCGCCCATGAGTCTCCCGGTCGCGGCCGGCTGCGACAGAGCCTGGATTCGAACCAGGATCTCTAGTGGCACAGTTAGCACTGCGATGCAGTGCCTTAGACCACTGCGCCATTCAGGAGTCCTAGCTTAAAAATGGACCAATAGAAGTATAAAGTGGGGTTCCTGCACATCCAGGAATGCCCACATGCAGGAACGCCCTGAATTGCGGGATGCAATTGCACCCTTCTCCCACGTTTTGCTAGTTCATTCCGACATCAATCTCATGGGTTGGCTACTTCTCCAGTAGATGTCTTTGACGGTGTGGCATAACATTTTAATAGTGTAGTACCTACAGTGGTGCAAAGTGCTTAAGTAAAAATAATTTGAAGTACTCCTTAAGTAGTTTTTTACGGTATCTGTACTTTACTATTTAGAACTTTTACTTTTATTTCGGTACATTCCTAAAGACTATAATATACTTTTTACTCCATACATTTTCCCTGACACCCAAAAGTATTGCTTAGCAGGAGAACAGGAAAATGGTCCAATTCACTCACTTTTCAAGAGAACATCCCTGGTCATCCCTACTGCTTCTGATCTGGCGGACTCACTGAACACACATGCTTCATTTGTAAATGATATCTGAGTGTTGGAGTGTGCCCCTGGCTATCCATAAATATAAAAAAAACAAGAAAATGGGGCCGTTTGGTTTGCTTAATATAAGGATTTTGAAAAGATGTATACTTCTAAGTATATTTTAACAATTGCATTTACTTTTGATACTTAAGTATATTTAAAACCAAATAGCTTTAGGCTTTTAGTCAAGTAGTATTTTACTGGGTGACTTTCACTTGAGTCATTTTCTATTAAGGTATCATTACTTTTACTCAAGTATGACAATTGGGTACTCTTCCACCACTGAGTACCTATCGTTTCTCATCTCATTTAATATCTCGATGTTTTGACAAGAACGGCCTTGCTCAGACTACAACCTCGATCTCACATAGGGCTAAACAGATGACTGACTGACTGACTATTACAGGAAAATATGAGTATGACTCGTTCCGTAATAATACGTCTGAAAATCCGTCCTGATAAAATGTAATTTTCTTACCAGAAGCGTGGGAACTTACATAGTAGCTGTCAATGAGCAGTGCCAGGACCCTGATGTGACAGTGCCATCCAGTGAAATTATATATAAATAACAAAAGCAGGAGGAGCGACGTACCTAGGGTGTATTAATTTCGCTGGTTCTGTTGCAAATCGTTTCTTAAACGAAAGAAAACTAAACAAAACATGGAGGAACCTACCTGAATTTGTCCAATAGAAACTCTTGTTTTGGCGGAATGAATACACCCCTGATATACCCCCCCCCCAAAAAAAATAAAAATAATGATGGGTGTGTAGGAGCTGTTATTTCCATTAGGGCTGGTTGCTCTGGGGCTTCACTCAAACAAACTGAATAAAATATTAAAAAGTATGTTTCTATTCCTTTGTAATTGAATTGATATAGTGGCAGGTGGAAATGTTACTTGTATAATGACAGGTGGTCATCATTACGTTGGTCATCAAAAGCGTAATTATAAATTACAAAACATACATTATACATACACTACCGGTCAAAAGAACACCTACTCATTCAAGGGTTTTTCTTTATTTTTACTATTTTCTACATTATAAAATAATAGTGAAGACATCAAAACTATGAAATAACACATATGGAATCATGTAGTAACCAAAAAAGTGTTAAACAAATCAAATGATATTTTATATTTGAGATTCTTCAAATAGCCACCCTTTGCCTTGATGACAGCTTTGCACACTCTTGGCAATGGATTTGACAGCTCTAGCGTAGTTCCACCTCTGACAGCATCAAAACAACAGCTATATGGATGTCGGCTAAAGCGGATCTGATTGAATAGAGCCCTAACTTTGGAAATGCAGAAGCACCCTCTGCCTTGGTTTGTTACTGGATCTATATACAGCACACAAAAACATTCCATCCTGTGAAATGATTTTGAAATGTCATTTGACCCAACATGAGATATTGCGACATGTCATCTTGGTTGTCGTCTTCCCTCTCTCTCTCCACTTTACAGGTTAAGTTTTTTAACAGTGTTGTTTAACAGAAACTCTGTTCTCTCCACCCTGACCCCCAGACACATACTGGGCAGAGTACAAGCTCTCTCGGTGCGGGTCTGTCTTCCCTGTGTCCAGACTGCTCAGTGTTCTCAGCCTTAGCATCTGCCTCAGCTTTTGACGGAACTCCCTAGAGGCAAAGTAGTAGATGAAAGGGTCGAGGCAGCTGTTGAGGCAACTGAGGGAGAGAGTCAGCTTGTAGGCCATGTAGAGGGAGTCCCCGTAGAAGAGCCTCCGGATGGTGTGAGCCAGGAGGAGGATGTTGTTGGGAGCGAAGCAAAGCGTGAAGACCGTTAGGACGGTGACGGCGAGACGTATAGCTTTCTCTTTCTGGTTGGTCTTGGAAACTCGGGCCAGCTTGCGGATGATGCCAACGTAGCAGAACACAGTGATGCAGAACGGGATGAGGAAGAGGATGACAAACAGGGCAAGGAGGAAGGCAGCCCAGGCCTCCATTGATGGAAGCATGTCCCTCTTCAGAACGTCAAAGCAGGTGGTGATCCCGAGTTCTGGAACGTGGAACGTCAGGTCGGTTGTCATGAGTGGGTACAGGACAGATAGGACGACTGTCCACATGGCCAAGCAGCCGATCACAGCGAATGACTTCCTTTCCCTGGTCTCACGGAAGAGCATGGGCCAACAGATGCCCAGGTAGCGGTCTCCACTGATGGCCGTCATAGTTAGAATTGAGCAGTACATGTTGGCAAAGAACACCAGGGTCAGGAGCCTGTGGAAGATCAGAATATATTTAATCGTTATTCATCTGTGACAAAATAAAGTTGTTGGCTCTTGCTCAGGGCATGGAAAAGACACATCTATCTCAATGGGACTGATCAGGATAAATAAATTATAATAAAATAAATAAACAAGAATACCTGCATATGCCCGGGCCCAGGCTCCAGTTATACCCCTGCATCTGATACATGATCTGGAAGGGCAGGACGAGGCCCAAGGCCAGGTCTGTCAGGGTCAGGTTGATCATGAAGATGATGGAGGGAGTTTTGGGAGAGGTACGGAAGAGGAGAAGCCACATGGAGAGGCCGTTTCCTGTCAGGTTGATGGCGGTGACCACGATGTAGATGATGGAGATAGCTGTGCTGGCTGTTGCGTTCTGGAACAGGGACAAGGTGATGTTGTCCAGTTTGGTGCTGTTGGTACTCCAGGCCATGGTGACAATGACTTCACACAAACTACCTATGATCAGACAGACATTTAGATTCATGTAAAAGGGTAGCATTGTCTTGTCTGTAGCCCAATGTACTAGCTAGTGTCACGTGGGATCTGAACTTGTGTTTTAAAACAAGACTTGGCAGACAATATTATGCCAATGAATTAAAGATCACCAAATATGTAAGTCACCACAACCTAATAGGGTAATTTCCCCCCTGAAATATTGCATTAAAATATGCAAATTAGTAAATATATTTGTATATACCGCAAATCCATTTTCCTGGACACTGGATGAAGTCAGCCTAAATATTTGGTTTAATTTTGTTAAGACACTCCAGGACCGGACATGTATAGAGCAGGTTGTGGATATATACTTTTTCATCTTTCTATCTGTAAAATACTAAAGACATGTATGTAAACAGCATTTATGTCGCATATTTCAAAAGAACATTTAATCTAGAATCAACATTTATAACATATCAACAACTTCCTGTATACAAGTTTGGAGAATATATCTAGGGAATGGATAACCACAAAATAAATTGTGAATGCAGATGCTTCTGAAGCTGAGAAAAATGTGTTGGCATGTTGGAAGAGTCTGACTTTCAGTAAATGGCAGTTAAAGAGAAGAACAATTAATTTTGCCTACCAATTGCCAAACTCTTATTTAGGGCAGGGTTTCCCAAACTCGGTCCCGGGGCCCCCCCTGGGTGCACATTTTGGTTGTTGCTGTAGAACTACACAGCTGATTCAAATAATTAAAGCTTGATGATGAATTGGTTATTTGAATCAGCTGTGTAGTGCTAGGGCAAAAACCAAAACGTGCACCCAAAGGGGGCCCCAGGACAGAGTTTGGGAAACCTGATTTAGACCCAATCACGATCTCTTCAGAGTAAGTTATTACATATAGTCCAGTTTTTAACATTCTCTATGACATGGGCTTTTTAAGTTATGTATGATTACATGTAGTAGGATTTTAAATTATAGATGAATGTCCATTGAATGTGGTAAAACATCATGAAATTTTGATGGTAGTATGATAAACAAAAGGAAATATACATTTACAGCAAATTGTTGAAGTTTACTTTTTGAAAGTACTATTATTAAATATGTAACTTTTTGGGCGACCCGATCAAATTCACATAAAAATCTGAGTTATAGAACTGTCATTCTTATTGAAAGCAAGTCTAAGAAGTGGTAGATCTGTTCTATGTGCTCTATTTCTAGGCTTCCCATTCCTAAGATTCATTTTGTGTAATTTACTTTCGGTTTTGTACACCAGCTTTAAACAGCTAATAATACAATATTTTTGGTTTAATTAAAATATATTTCACAGCGGTTTAGATGGTACAATGATTCTCTACACTATCCATTGCTTATTTTATCACATAAACTGAAATAAGGCAAACTATTCAAATTTTATCAACCAGGCAGAGCGATTTCTGCATATTGCACCTTTAAAGGACCAAAATTCCCCAAAATCTCAAAATGTATAAGAAGTTGCAAACATGTAATTTAAGACTGTGGTGCCTGGCCTTAATTAAATGACTGCATACAGTTTATGCTTCTTCATTGAAGTGCACGATTATTTAAACTTTCTCTTACTGAAAGCCAATATTAGGCTATACCATCGATAAGTTGAAATATCATCACGTCTAGAACAGCCTCCAGCCTTCCATCAGAACGTCAATTCTGAATGAAAAACAGTATTAAAGGGGACAGTTAAAAACTAATCCTGTGCTAAAAGTCTTCTGAAACAACAGGCATTTTGGGTAATAATGACATAACTCTCTAGTAATACTAGTCCTGTGCAAATAGGGCTTAAGGCAACAACGACTATTGTGTTTAATGAACTGTATCATGTGTTATAGGTGTTGGTATACATTTATTGTCTATCAAATCAATCTTTTTTGCATTGATTGTGATATTTGGAAATTCTTGTGGTGACAATAATATGTTTTTGGCTCTGGAGTGAACTTTCACTTGTAAAATACTGCAACACTAGCACACACCACAAGGAATAAAAAACACTTTCACATGGTGAAGGGGTTAATAACCACAAACCAAATGTGACAGTTTCTGAGGCGTGTTGTGTCACAATAGACACGGCAAAATCTCTCATGGGTTTCATCTGTTGCCGCTTTCTATATACTATAGAACACATTTCCAGTGTTGTACGAAATATGTATGAAATTCCGAAAGTGCACGAAATTCCAACAGTGCAGCTTGGCTCTTGCACAGTAAATTCCCTTCCATGTGCAAGTGAAGTGGCACTCTAACCTTATACGACCTATATAACCAAAGCACAAGCTTTGCCAAAAGTAAATAGCACAGGTACTGTACGCATCTAAACAGAATACCTTCATTCTAACTTTAAATGTAGAATATAATATATCTGAATAGTATCCCTATTTCTGAGACAATGTACACGAATTGAAACAAAGAACAATTACATATTTTATGCTAAATCTTTATCAATCTCTAATTCAGATTTTGGACATTAACAGTCCAAATTGAAGTATCTCTGTATGAAGTGTGCAGCAAAGAGACAGAGCAGTACTTACCTCTGAGAATACACAGACTCGAGTCAGAGGGGGGCGGTTGGGGGATGAATGCATTGTACTGTAGCGGGTCAGGAAACGGGTGCACGTTACTGTAGAATAGGGGAAGTGCGTCAGGTCTTCATATCCAACTGCCATAGGCAGGCAAAACTAATAAACAAGGTGTAGTAATGATATGTGCACTCTGTTTCTGTTTGGTATTTTATTTTATTTAATTAGGTAAGTTGATTGAGGACACTCCCATTTACAACAACGACCTGGAAAAAGTGTGCGTGTGCAATAACTCAATTCGCTCTTGCACGCCTTGTAAACACCATTTTTTAAAAATTGTCACATCTACAAAACTTAGTGCACTCTGTTCGTAACAGATTGTAGTTTATGGAACAGAAAACTGTATTGAGATCGGGCTTTTCTTCTATGAGACAATCTGCAGAATGTCGGCCCAGTTCCATCTCGTTCCATACTCTCCCACTTCCGGCCACTGCTGGCTTCCTCTTCTCACCATATTTGGTGGGTAGAGGAAATTCCAACCGGATACTTCAGATTTATACATCCAGTGAAACACCTATCTCCTTGTTCTATCTGTGATTGAAGTGTATGGCGATCACCCAGAGATGGCATGACTAGCTAGCTTAAAGCCTACCTCTTTCTTTTCCATCTTCTTCCCAGAGTGGTAGATAAAGAACTACATTTGAGCCCTTGTGGTGAAAAAGACAGAGAAAGAGGAATCTACAGACTTCATTTTGTTGGATAACATTGAAATTGGGAGATGCACACATACACACGTGTGCACATCAATACACACGTGCACATATCCACATGCGTCCAACAATGCAGCTTTCACCTTTCTCACCAAATCAATGCAAATTAATTACTTAAAAATCATACAATGTGATTTTCTGGATTTTTGTTTTAGAGTCCGTCTCTCACAGTTGAAGTGTACCTATGATAAAAAATTACAGACCTCTACATGCTTTGTAAGTAGGAAAACCAGCAAAATCAGCAGTGTATCAAATACTTGTTCTCCCCACTGTACATACATACATACATACATTCATATATATACATATATATACACACATACACATAAACATATACACATACATACAAACACATACACACACATATATATATATACATACATATACAGTGAGGGAAAAAAGTATTTGATCCCCTGCTGATTTTGTATGTTTGCCCACTGACAAAGAAATGATCAGTCTATAATTTTAATGGTAGGTTTATTTGTACAGTGAGAGACAGAATAACAACATTTACATTTACATTTACGTCATTTAGCAGACGCTCTTATCCAGAGCGACTTACAAATTGGTGCATTCACCTTATAGCCAGTGTGATAACCACTTTATAATCTTTTTTTTATTTTTTGATATATTTCGTTTTAATTTTACTCATTTTTTTTATTTTTTATTATTATTTTTATTGTTTTTTATTTATATTTGTACTGTTTTTTTATTTATTTATTTATTTATTTATTTATTTTTGGGGGGGTGGGTGGGTTGGGGTAAGGGAGGGGTAGAAGGATTACTTTATCCTATCCCAGGTATTCCTTAAAGAGGTGGGGTTTCAAATGTCTCCGGAAGGTGGTGAGTGACTCCGCTGTCCTGGCGTCGTGAGGGAGCTTGTTCCACCATTGGGGTGCCAGAGCAGCGAACAGTTTTGACTGGGCTGAGCGGGAACTATGCTTCCGCAGAGGAAGGGGAGCCAGCAGGCCAGAGGTGGATGAACGCAATGCCCTCGTTTGGGTATAGGGACTGATCAGAGCCTGAAGGTACAGAGGTGCCGTTCCCCTCACAGCTCCATAGGCAAGCACCATGGTCTTGTAACAGATAAGAGCTTCAACTGGAAGCCAGTGGAGTGTGCGGAGGAGGGGGGTGACGTGAGAGAACTTGTGAAGGTTGAACACCAGACGGGCTGCGGCATTCTGGATGAGTTGTAGGGGTTTAATGGCACAGGCAGGGAGCCCAGCCAACAGCGAGTTGCAGTAATCCAGACGGGAGATGACAAGTGCCTGGATTAGGACCTGTGCCGCTTCCTGTGTAAGGCAGGGTCGTACTCTCCGAATGTTGTAGAGCATGAACCTACAGGATCGGGTCACCGCCTTGATGTTAGCGGAGAACGACAGGGTGTTGTCCAGGGTCACGCCAAGGCTCTTCGCACTCTGGGAGGAGGACACAACGGAGTTGTCAACCGTGATGGCGAGATCATGGAACAGGCAGTCCTTCCCCGGGAGGAAGAGCAGCTCCGTCTTGCCAAGGTTCAGCTTGAGGTGGTGATCCGTCATCCATACTGATATGTCTGCCAGACATGCAGAGATGCGATTCGCCACCTGGTTATCAGAAGGGGGAAAGGAGAAGATTAGTTGTGTGTCGTCAGCGTAGCAATGATAGGAGAGGCCATGTGAGGATATGACAGAGCCAAGTGACTTGGTGTATAGCGAGAATAGGAGAGGGCCTAGAACTGAGCCCTGGGG